AATCGAATGAGACCGAGAGCGAGTCGACAGGACGGATACTTTTCGAGATATCGGCACCGAAAGCCAGCTATATGCGTTTATTGCCAATAGGAGCACTTCCGAAGGCCACTTATCCTCTATCTTCCAGAATTTCCCAATTTCCACCATGGATTCTTTCATTACGACCTCGAATTGGTCTACATGAATTTTTTCAGATTTTTAATAGGCCGAATAAAAATTTTTATTTTTCCTCCTACAGTCCTATACGAAAAAACGACCGAGGCACCTTCGGATGGCCGAAAAAGCCGGAAAACGGCGGAAATCCACGCGAATTATCACTTTTCTGAAGGAAAATGAGCTGCTGAATCGAATGAGACCGAGAGCGAGTCGATAGGACGAATACTTTTCGAGATATCGGCACCGAAAGCCAGCTATATGCGTTTATTGCCAATAGGAGCACTTCCGAAGGCCACTTATCCTCTATGTTCCGGAATTTCCCAATTTCCACCATGGATTCTTTCATTACGACCTCGAATTGGTCTACATGAATTTTTTCAGATTTTTAATAGGCCGAATGAAAATTTTTATTTTTCCTCCTAACAGTCCTATACGAAAACACGACCGAGGCACCTTCGGATGGCCGAAAGTGCCAGAAAACGGCGGAAATCCACGCGAATTATCACTTTTCTGAAAGAAAATGAGCTGCTGAATCGAATGAGACCGAAAGCGAGTCGATAGAACGAATACTTTTCGAGATATCGGCACCGAAAGCCAGCTATATGCGTTTATTGCCAATAGGAGCACTTCCGGAGGCCACTAATCCTCTATCTTCCAGAATTTCCCAATTTCCACCATGGATTCTTTCATTACGACCTCAAATTGGTCTACATGAATTTTTTCAGATTTTTAATAGGCCGAATAAAAATTTTTATTTTTCCTCCTAACAGTCCTATACGAAAAAACGACCGAGGCACCTTCGGATGCCGAAAGTGCCAGAAAACGGCGGAAATCCACGCGAATTATCACTTTCCTGGAGGAAAATGAGCTGCTGAATCGAATTGAGACCGAGAGCGAGTCGATAGGACGGATACTTTTCGAGATATCGGCACCGAAAGCCAGCTATATGCGTTTATTGCCAATAGGAGCACTTCCGAAGGCCACTAATCCTCTATCTTCCAGAATTTCCCAATTTCCACCATGGATTCTTTCATTACGACCTCGAATTGGTCTACACGAATTTTTTCAGATTTTTAATAGGACGAATAAAAATTTTTATTTTTCCTCCTAACAGTCCTATACGAAAAAACGACCGAGGCACCTTCGGATGGCCGAAAGTGCCGGAAAACGGCGGAAATCCACGCGAATTATCACTTTTCTGAAGGAAAATGAGCTGCTGAATCGAATGAGACCGAGAGCGAGTCGATAGGACGAATACTTTTCGAGATATCGGCACCGAAAGCCAGCTATATGCGTTTATTGCCAATAGGAGCACTTCCGAAGGCCACTCATCCTCTATCTTCCAGAATTTCCCAATTTCCACCATGGATTCTTTCATTACGACCTCAAATTGATCTACATGAATTTTTTCAGATTTTAGTAGGCCGAATAAATTTTTTTTTTTTTCCTCCTAACAGTCCTATACGAAAACACGACCGAGGCACCTTCGGATGGCCGAAAGTGCCAGAAAACGGCGGAAATCCACGCGAATTATCACTTTCCTGAAGGAAAATGAGCTGCTGAATCGAATGAGACCGAGAGCGAGTCGATAGGACGGATACTTTTCGAGATATCGGCACCGAAAGCCAGCTATATGCGTTTATTGCCAATAGGAGCACTTCCGAAGGCCACTAATCCTCTATCTTCCAGAATTTCCCAATTTCCACCATGGATTCTTTCATTACGACCTCGAATTGGTCTACACGAATTTTTTCAGATTTTTAATAGGACGAATAAAAATTTTTATTTTTCCTCCTAACAGTCCTATACGAAAAAACGACCGAGGCACCTTCGGATGGCCGAAAGTGCCGGAAAACGGCGGAAATCCACGCGAATTATCACTTTTCTGAAGGAAAATGAGCTGCTGAATCGAATGAGACCGAGAGCGAGTCGATAGGACGAATACTTTTCGAGATATCGGCACCGAAAGCCAGCTATATGCGTTTATTGCCAATAGGAGCACTTCCGAAGGCCACTCATCCTCTATCTTCCAGAATTTCCCAATTTCCACCATGGATTCTTTCATTACGACCTCGAATTGGTCTACATGAATTTTTTCAGATTTTTAATAGGCCGAATAAAATTTTTTTATTTTTCCTCCTAACAGTCCTATACGAAAACACGACCGAGGCACCTTCGGATGGCCGAAAGTGCCAGAAAACGGCGGAAATCCACGCGAATTATCACTTTTCTGAATCGAATGAGACCGAGAGCGAGTCGATAGGGCGAATACTTTTCGAGATATCGGCACCGAAAGCCAGCTATATGCGTTTATTGCCAATATGAGCACTTCCGAAGGCCACTTATCCTCTATGTTCCGGAATTTCCCAATTTCCACCATGGATTCTTTCATTACGACCTCGAATTGGTCTACATGAATTTTTTCAGATTTTTAATAGGCCGAATGAAAATTTTTATTTTTCCTTCTTACAGTCCTATTCGAAAACACGACCGAGGCACCTTCGGATGGCCGAAAGTGCCGGAAAACGGCGGAAACCCACGCGAATTATCACTTTTCTGAAGGAAAATGAGCTGCTGAATCGAATGAGACCGAGAGCGAGTCGATAGGACGAATACTTTTCGAGATATCGGCACCGAAAGCCAGCTATATGCGTTTATTGCCAATAGGAGCACTTCCGAAGGCCACTAATCCTCTATCTTCCAGAATTTCCCGATTTCCACCATGGATTCTTTCATTACGACCTCGAATTGGTCTACACGAATTTTTTCAGATTTTTAATAGGCCGAATAAAAATTTTTATTTTTCCTCCTAACCGTCCCATACGAAAAAACGACCGAGGCACCTTCGGATGGCCGAATGTTTATTGGAAATATATTCGTATTTCAAAAATCAAAATACCAATTGATGAGAACTATTTTCCATTTTTATGTTGAAAGCGGAAACAGATTTGTTGTAATAAGTGGAAATTTTATGTATTTGTAATATACCCATATTCCTCTTGCTGAAACTTTTCCGAAAACAAAATGTCATTGACTATTTCTCCTTGAATTCCACTTCTGGTTTCTAGTAGTGAAATTTTCAAACGCAGATACATTTGGGGATAAAGACATTCACTTGTTGAAAAGAAAATTGAACAAAACATTGAGGTTATTTATACAGGAGTGATAATTTCTTCGGGTGGACGCACTGTAAGTATGTTGTTTCAACTATTTTTGATTACAAGAATAATTATTTGAATTATTGCAGTGTTTATCGATTGATTCGCCAACATTGCCAATTACAAATCAGTGATTAAATTTCACACATCAGAGGTTATTATGGATTAATGCCTGATCCTATATCAATCGAAAATAAGTACTTAATTATAATGTTCACATCATTCATAACTTCTAGACAGTCGACAAACTATAAATGATAATTGTGTTTCTCCGGGATCTGGATAATTTACGATATTTGACATATCTGAATGTTGAAAACTTCACAAATGATAAGATTTTTTCCGGGATCTGGATAATTTACGATATTTGACATATCTGAATGTTGAAAACTTCACAAATGATAAGATTTTTTCCGGGATTTGGATAATTTACGATATTTGACATATCTGAATGTTGGAAACTTCACAAATGATAAGATTCACACAAAATTCTCAAAATTAGTTTTACATAAACGAGACTTCAGAGTTGCTTGAATATATAACACGTTAGGAAGGTTTATCGAAAATAATGAAGACAAAACTTATAAATTCCAAGAGCTGGGAGTATTCAATCTTGTCCTAAGGTATACAGGGTGTTCCTAAAATTCTAATATTCAAGGGGAGCCATTCTTGGACCAAACGCCGCCACTGGTAGAGAAAATGAAAATTTTTCTACATCAGAAAATGCACCTTAATGCATAGAAGACATATACCCAATTTCATAAAGATGATGTCTACAATATTATCTCAGTCATTATTAAAAAACTGTTATTTTTTTCAAAACTTTATCACCGCTAGGAAGTTTTTTTTCAAAATGTGTCAAACTATCACCCCCTAAATATTAGCATGTCTTTTAGGAACACCCTGTATATTGGTCAGGCTGTCAGGCAGGTAGAACTTTCAATCACAGCAATAACGAACTTTTTTTTTTAACCAAATTCTACCAAATGTAGAGAATGGGCGTGTACACCTCAGTAGAACTTTTAACTCAAACCATGTTTATAATGATCCTTTTATACATAAATAATGATTGACGACATAATTCGATCGAAAAATTAACTGGAATGTTTTATTTTTGGACATAAATAATAGTACCTTCTGAAAACGGACCCTCTTATGACGTAGAAACCTCATCTAAGAAAATACCAAACGCCCGACGGAGACTGAGGCAACTGATATATTAATTCTTTCAACTGTGATCTCGCGCTAATTCACTCTGTCAGAAATCATGTATCATTCATCTCTGTCTGGAATAGTCTTGTTTCAGTATGTGTATGATGAATGTCAATTTATCATACACCCAAAAGCAATAATATAATAGTTCAATGTTCTGCGTGACATAGAGGCAAGAAAATAGTTGTTTTTCTGTCGTAATCTACCAGTTTCGTTCACCTATGAACATTTGTGGAAATGAATTTGAGCTTTGGATCCATGCGCTGTATTCCGTTTCCTTCAAGATTCTGCGACCAGATTGACGTACTCATTAGTTATCTATTCGAAACAAATATATATTCAATGATAAACGCTGATTGAATTGTTTCACAGAGATAAACGATCTTATTTTATCTAATTATATCTACTAATTTGTATTTTCTCATTTTGTTGCAGTAGGTAATCATATTATCGTCAAACTATTGTGTTTTCTAGGTCATGGCACACTATAGAACTTCGTGAAAATGAAAATTGCTGTGATAGGAGCAGGTGCCGGAGGTCTAGCAGCCCTAAGGCACTGTCTAGAAGAAGGACATTCTTGTGAAGTGTTCGAAAAAACGGAAAACATTGGCGGAACCTGGCAATACACAGACAAAACTGGTGTTGACCAATACGGCCTCCCAATACACTCGTCTATGTACGAAGGACTGAGGTATATACAGTGTGTTACAATTTGGTCCACCCCACCCCTGTACTTCTAGAGAGATTTGAATTTTTTTCTCACAGCTTACTACTCGAAATTATCTACTTTTTCGAGCAAACAAAAATTGTCAATCACAATTTTTTAGCCTACTGCGATCACAAAAACTCCAGCAAAATTAAAGAAAACGAATTAGGCAATTTTCTACAGAAATTTTGATGAAAGCAGTCCATTTCGGACTAGTCACAAATAGTCCTATATCAATCTCTGGTCCATGATCGCTCAAAGTGGGGTGGAATTTTTCAAAAGGAAGAAGAAATGCTCAAAGTCGCGGTATTATAGGGCACATTTTTAATGAAAACCCGTTCATTCTCAACCCCCCCTTTCTACCAATATAACCAGGATATTATGATGATAGACATCGGCATCCAATTTAAAATACTTACTGTTTCACCTCCATGTAAGTCAACTTTTAGTTTTTATACTATGTATATATACTATGTGCCTTTGCTTGTATTAACTTCAAAATTCGGCTGAAGATGAACTTTCATAAGTTCGATACATGTCCCCTTGATTGATTTACATCAGTAATAAAGTGGTGGAGAAGACTTCATCTTCCTTTTGAGTCCTATATCAATTTTCAAAACAATATCTCATACGAGGTGTTTTTTATCAACGTTGAACTTTCCAAGTCACCGTGTATAAAAATTCTTAGAATTTGAATGATATCAAGCATGATGATAGTCAGAATTAGATCATGTGGCTACAGAGTGAAATAAATTACCAATAAAATCATTAAAAATTTTAATTTTTTTATCAAGAAATGAATAGAAACTGAATGATATACCGGGTGTCCCAGTATACCTGTTCCAATGGATTATCTCAGTCATTTCGAAAGTAACAAATTTGAAAATTTCATGATCTCTAATTCGTTCAAGGAACCTTCAACTGAGAAAAACGAAAATTGAAAGTCACTTCCGGTTTGACCGGAAGTGACTCTAACTTCTTTATTTCAAATAGCACCCTGTATATTTTTTGCAATTTTTGCTTTCTACTCAAAATTGCCTTTCCAACGATGTATCACACTTTGTATTTTACATTTGATATGATGAAGAAAACGACAAATTGTTAATTGGAGAGTTGAAAATAACTCGCGAAAAAAGATATGAAAAGTGTATAGAGAATGAAGGAGATTTAATCGAAAATACAAAAATTACTGTTATAGGTATTATCTGTGTCTAATTTTTTATGTTATTTTTTGATAGGTATCATTTAATTTTTTTTTCTCCATGGAAGATCTGAATTTTTAGTGATTTTATTCATCTCACTCTGTAGCCAGATGATCTAATCCTGACACCATCATGTCTGATATTCTAATTCTAAGAATTATTATAGACGGTGACTTGGAAAGTGAAATTATTTTGATAAAAAACACCCCGTATGAGATATTGTTTTGAAAATTGATATAGGAATATTTCTGACTAGTCCGAATCGATTGCATACATCAAAATGTTTGTAAAGAAAATGCGTAATAAATCCGTTTCCTTTAAATTTGCTAGCGTTTTTGTGATGCCAGTTGGCTAATAAAATGTGATTGATTTTTTTCACTCGACAAAGTGAATCATTTGCAGTAATATAGTATGGGCAAAAAATATTTCCAATCGGTCTGATATAGGTAGAGGTAGCTGATGACTTTGTTTTTGTAGGACGAATTTACCAAAAGAACTGATGACATACGATGGGTTTCCGTATACGTCACCCGACCATTCGTACATATCACAGCCAGAAGTACTAAAATACATCGAAGATTTTGCAAGAGCCTTTAATCTAATGCCACACATCAAGGTAGATATAAAGTATCGATGAAAATTGATTCAGGACACCCGAATATGGTAATAGTCAACCCACAGGCAATTCTCAATTATTTCTTAACGTGTGCTGCTGAGGTACATTTACTTCAGCTTCATTTGTGTCTGATCATGACCTATAACCGAAACTAGTAAATTTATTATGAATTAGTGTTTGCCTTCGAGCGTTTCAAATGATTATTGTGTCCCCATCCCTTACTATGCTTCAACAGACCCTATACTCACATGGAACCTAAATACCTTTAATAACGTGGTTCTATTTCGTTCCAGTTTTTGACCCACGTAGAAAAAGTTTCCCCGCTTCCGAACAACAGGTGGTCGATCGGCCTCCTAGATCTCCAGACTCGAGAAACAATTGAAAGGGAATACGATGCAGTACTGGTGTGTAACGGAAGATGCTCCGTACCGTATACTCCAAAATTACCAGGAATAGACACATTCAAAGGAACCGTTATTCACAGCCACGATTACAGAAATCCAGGGCCGTACAAAGGAAAGAAAGTTTTGGTTATCGGTGCAGGACCGTCCGGAGTGGACATAGCTGGAATTGTATTCAATGTAGCTGACAAAGTAAGTTCATGGACGGGGAAAGCAAGAATACCAAACACTGCTGTTAATGACATTGGAGAAGAGTACGTTGAGTAGTAAACAACGAGTTGAAGAATCGATAAACATAAATATATGCGAGATTATCGGAATAAACCATTTATTTTCACGCCCGCCAATATCCGCAGACGGAAAATATTTTTATATCTAACCATATCGGGGTACTTTGAACTAACCTTGCATATAAGCGATAACTCTGATGCAATTTTTTGGAAACCTCATTTGCACCCGGATATCACAACCAAAACCTATGAAAATCATGAGGTGATTCACCAAAAAACAAATGTTTATACACACTACTACTTAGGATTCATTCTTTCAGGTGATTCTTTGTCATAGAAGTGATATTAGTGCAAAATCGAAAATTCCTGAAGGTGTTATCATAAAACCAGAACCGATTGAATTCAAGGAAAATAGTGTTATCTTGAAGGATGGTTCCGTAGAAACTGTCAATTCTGTGATATTTTGCACAGGTAATAAGTGAATCAAAGCGTCATCTCATGAGGATTGAGGAAATATCAGTGTTCATATCTCGTTCTAAAGTAACTGTCACGAAATTAAGCATTTTCTGATTGAAATACTATGTCTAGGTATGACAGTGGTTCAAGTTGTTTTTTTTTATTCTCTCACAGGTTATAGCTGCAGTTATCCTTTTCTAACTGTCGATTGTGGTATAGAAGTGGACCATAACTGGGTGAAATATCTCTACAAACAAGTTATCAACGTCAAACACCCCACAATGGGTTTCATAGGACTACCAATACGAATATTTCCTTTCGTAATGTTTGGAATACAGGTGGGAAAAAATGGACATGATTCGGAAAATATACGCATATACAGAGTGGGCCTTTGAAAACGAAACAGAGGCTCTGTAGGTCGCCAAAACCGGATTATCAAAAAAAACTGAAACAGGTCAACTACATTTTCGAGGGGGACATCTTTCTAAAATATTTTCAGTCCTGCGGCGTTGCCGCTTCTAACGAAAAGAAGCAACAACTTTGTTATTTCAAATGGAACACCTTGTATTTTATTGCATTTTTAGGTTCTCCCCGAAGAGCTGATTTCATCAATGCATCACACTTGGGGTCTAGCTGTAATGGTTTCAGGGATATAAAGTGTTCAAAATCGAGATTTTTCAACTTTAACATTTTTTTGTGTCGAAACTATTCATTATTGGTCAAAACGGCTCTCATGTCGCTATCTCAACTTGTGATTTACTATCTACTGACATTTATTTGAAACAAATACAGGGTGGTTCAAGATTCAAAATTCTGATCACCCTGTATCTGTTCCAATTGAATGTTAGTAGATAGTGAATCACAAGTTGAGATAGGGACATGGGAGTCGTTTTGACCAATAATGAATAGTTTCGACACAAAAAAATGTTAAAGTTGAAAAATCTCGATTTTGAACACTTTATATCCCTGAAACCATTACAGCTAGACCCCAAGTGTGATGCATTGATGAAATCAGCTCTTCGAGGAGAATCTAAAAATGCATTAAAATACAAGGTGTTTCATTTGAAATAACAAAGTTGTTGCTTCTTTTCGTTAGCAGCGACAACGCCGCAGGGCTGAAAATATTGTAGTACGATGCCCCCCTCGAAAATGTAGTTGACGTGTTTCAGATTTTTTTCATAATCCGGTTTTGGCGACCTACAGAGCCTCTGTTTCGTTTTCAAAGGCCCACTCTGTATATACATATATAGGTTGTCAGCGAACAGGTCAATCTGTTTACCATAAATATACATCAGAGAAGTGCACAAAAAACGGCCAGAACTGTTACTTTCGAATTATTCGAAATAGGGTTATGACAATTGGTGGGCAGCTAGTATATCAAATTGCTTATTAATTGACGAAACAATTTTTGATCTATCACTTTCGGTTTTACTGGAAACGACTCAAATTTTTTATTTTCAAATGGGACACCCTGTATTGAATTCCATAATCGGTTAGGGATTGTCATAACGAATCCATCGATACCGGGTTTGATAGGGTTATTTCAAACGTTTACGCAGATATTCGCGTTCTAAGTTTCCATATGCTCAATGAGAGTGACAGAGAAAGAAGTTTTGATATTGCGAAGTCGCACCCATTGAGCATATATGGAAACTTCGAACGCGAATATCTTTGTAATTGTTTGAAATAACTCTATCAAACCCGGTATCGTTGAATTCGTCATGATAATCCCGAACCGATTATGGAATACAATACAGGGTGTCACATTCAAAAAACCAAAAGTTGGCGACGTTTCCGGTGAAACTGGAAGTGCTACCCACCAATTTTCAAAACCCAATCCAAAATAATTCAAAAGTTAAGTGTATCAGCCAAATGGAATGCTCTATTTGGCTGACACACACTGTATATTTCTCTAAGAAAAGAGCTGGACAGTCAGTAGCTACATAGATACTTCCCATTTTCGATAATTTGCCGTCTGTTTTTTCTTTTATTTCACTCAAAAAACATATGTGACTCATTGATACACTATAAAATACCTCCTCCAGTAATTGAATTGAAGAAAAAGATCTTTTGAAATGAAAATTGCTCAAGAAATACTAATATTATTCTTGTTCAAATAATATATGGTTAACAGATCGACTTTTTCTCGGACACCTGGTAAAAATTGAAAAATATTTTAGGTCCGATTTTTCTTATCATATCTGAAGGGTAATGTGGCAATAACGAAAGAACAAATGCTGGATGATATCGTCGTACAAATGTCGAAAAAAGCCGAGAAAGGCGTTATTCCGCTGCAGCTACAAGCGCATCTGTTGGGTTTAGATCAGGGCGACTACATGGACGATCTGGCAGAGACTGCCAAAATTAGGAAAATCCCGCAGGTTTATATCAAGCTTTACAAGCACGTACACACGGTGACCAAAGGAAACCGGGATCTTTCCTACAGAATAGTTGATGACGATGAATTTGTTCAAATTGGGAAGTGATGTGAAAAAAACCAATTGATATTTACTGAAATCATTCGTGTTTCAATAGTTACTCTATAACACTTAGGCACAGATTAAGTTTTTTAATATTTGGCGTATACTATCGGTTTGGTGTTTCAAAAGAATTCCTCATTTAATTCACTGTTGCCAGGTAGAATATGAAAGTATATCAATTTTGTGATTTTGTTACAATAAATTCAGTTTGCCATATTTGATTTCAACCCATTTTCCTATTTTGTATATTTTTTTCTCAAAAACCGTTGATAGAAGGTCCCATAAGTCGAGAAAAAATCATAAAAAAATTTTCGATCTCGCTGTCCCTTTAAGAGGACGGTAGGGTAAAGGGCTACTATTAGAAATTAATCAAAGATTTGATAAAATGTTTATATTATATCCTAGAAAATGCTCAGCAAGATATTCAAAACTTTTAGAAACATTACTATAATAGGCCAAAAAATACGGTATAATAGCCGCATCAAGGCTGTGATTCTCTTCAATTTGGGCATAATTGAAAAACCGTCACTATTGATCCAAAACTTTAAGAGACTTTAAGATGTCAACAAAATATCGTCAGCTGAATCAGAAAAATACAGGTTCCGTTTTGAAGTCCTTTTAAAAGGACGGTAGGCGTAAATGGGTTAATACTGTCTGTGGGTTAATCGAGAAGGTGGTATATTCATTATTCCGGATTTTTTGGGAGGAAAAATCCCAAAAAATCCGGAATAATGAATATTTGGTTCAATTTTACCTGATACCTTCACAACATTTTTGAAGTTACGATATGACATTTCTTCAAATAAATAACAAATAACAGAAATATGCAACAGAGAGACGTTATCTCTATGATGAATAGAATAGAAATAATCAAAAATCAGGTCACCTAGAAAAAATCACCAAATACATTATTTATCATTGAATTAGTGTCCCACTTACTATAAACGGACATACATTATCTTGAAAAAAAATGTTTTGAAAATAATGCGACCTTGGGGAATAAGTCTTATATCCTTTTGACAACCAAACATAACATAAAAATTTATTGTTCTGGAATTTCAGTTCATCCCTTATTTCAAGTATGTTCATGTTCAAACATAATAATTTGTGTATAAATGACATATTATACTGATGTAGTTTATTATCGTGCCAAAGGTTCCAGTCTTCGATATAACATAATATTATGATAATAAAAACAAAGCACCAACAAAATTTGTGAAATACTGAGGAAATATTAGGAAAATTCATTTACGTATTTTATTTATCATTATGATAACCAGTAGGTATACCAAAATATTGATCATGATTGTATATTCTCGAAATGTTCCAAAAAAACATGACCCGGTTATATATTTGAAGAGAAATTAGTTGAATTACGCATAATTTCCCAGAATATTGATAGGGGAACAGCATTTCTTGACCTCATCCATAGATGGGTGGAATACAAAGTCATAAACATATTATTTAGTATATCTTTCCTCAGATAAATATAATATCACAACAATTAATAGTTTGGACATTTTATATCATATCATAATCACTATGATGTCTCGCAGAATAGCTTGATATCATTCTAACAAAATTCAGAGCCAAAGCTGAATATAACGTACTCATCTAATTTTCAAAAATTCATTTTTGAACTCTTAAAATTGCTTCGGTATTTGAATAGCTGTAGATAAAGTATAATATTCCACTCGCGCACTCAGCTGAAAATAGCACTCCCCTTCGGCTCGTATTGAAATTTTCATCTTCGTGAGTGATAGCCATACAATTGTATGATGAAAAAGTAATCCTTCATTCATTCAAAATTACGTGGATCTCTAGCAGTTTCTCAAATACTTTATCATGTGAGTTATTTATGCAGTCTGTTGTGATGTCATTTGGCCACCTTGTTTATAAAATTGTCTGATAATCGATTCGAATTTTCTTGCCATAAATGGTCAAATACCAAAAAAAAAATTGTCCTTTGAGAAGCATAGTAGTAGTAGTATGATATGTCCTTCGTTGGTATGTATGTACACTCGTCTTCAGTGAATATGTCGCACATGGACGGTGTCTGTGTGCTCTCTAAATCACTGCTGCACTAACAGCGCTAGTGTTGCCGTCTAGACTTATACATTCTAGACTCTTGTCTTGTCTTGTCTAGAATATCAAGACAAGATCATCAATATGTCTTGTCTAGATTATCTAGACAAGACAAGACTTTTATTCAAAACTCTTGATTATTTTCAAATCTATATTACAAATACGTCGTTTCGCTGGCGCGGCTATGATTTGTTTTGATTGGTTCCCAGAGAGCGGGAGTTTGCATGCACTTGACTGTTTCTACGCAATTCAAGCTAAGCGTCTTATCTAGAGTCTTGAATAATAATCTAGACTTTCGTTATCTAGACAAGACCGCACTTAGCTTATTTAATCAAGACTTACGCGTATACAACTCTTGTCTTGAAATTTCAAGACAAGACAAGAGTAGGTAAACTCTTGTCTTGTCTTGTCTAGATGGCAACACTACAGCGCTCACACCGTCCAACCGCGACATGTATTCTGAAGACGACTGTACATACCAACTGGCCATCGACCTTACGGGAGGTCCTTCAGCCCATGTGGGTTCTGTGTAGGCTTTGTTACTAACTCCATAAGCCACCTTAAGAGCAGCACTGTTAATTGGAACGCGACAGCGAATCGTGCGGAATCGTTTCCGGCCGAGGCTACGAAAATTAGAATTCATAGCTCACTTTATGAATAAAAATTTTCTGATCTGCCGGGGATTCGAACCTACAGTGTGGCCCACTTCTAATAGAAAAACCCCTGTATCTTACGTAATCGTTGGGTAAGGATTTTGAACTTTGCTGGAGCGAGATATACCAAAAATGCACTCTATGACTAAGTGGGGTCATCTTCAGTGATATACACTGCTCGCCAACAGCCATGAAACCACCCCAATTACTGGAAAATGAGATTAGGAGTCAAAATATCTTTTGATTTTCTGATTGCTGCCGTCTTTTGAGAAGCATAAAATCATACAAATAATGTCACTTAGTTACTCAATGTAAAACTCGATTTCCATTTGAAAAATAAACTATTCGATAAAAAGCTACAATTTAGTTAGAAATAATTCTGGAAAATTCCAATCACCATATACAAGATTTAGGAATCTTTCATTAATACCCTTATAAGAAAAATCCAACCAAAGTAGGTATTGAGTTTGCATCATTTCCGGTAATTCCTTTTTCACTGCAAGGTTTTCCGAATATCTCAATTAAATTGATGCATTTAAGTGAATCATGCAATCATAATAACATGCTTTAAATACTCTACTTTCACGCCGCAAATTTATCATTGATAACATATTCTTGCAGTAAACATCATTCAATATATATAAAGAATCCAGAGTATCTAATTTATTAGTGTAGTTCGACCCTTCTACCAGTCAAGACAAAAAATATTACGCCGAAAACGATACCACCAACTAGAATCAGTTGCCAAAATATAGCAGTGAAGTCAAAATCAGGCGAAATTTGAAAATTCGAAAATCTTCTGATTATTTTAATAGAAATGCGCGTTGCTATTATTGGAGCTGGAGCAGCTGGATTAGCGTCCTTGAGGCACGCCAAAGAATACGGATTCGATTGTGACGTTTTCGAAATGAGAGAAAACTTAGGAGGCACATGGATTTATACCGACGACGTGGGGACCGACAGATTCGGATACCCTGTATATTCCGCGATGTATAAAGGACTCAGGTAGGTCGTAGCCTTCTATTTTATTCTATACATTATTAAATTCATTCGATTTGGCGGGTTTTGAGGTCTAGACTTCTGACACGAAACAGTGTAAAATTGACATTCATTTCATTCATATTCAATGTTTTCTGTTGAGTTGAAATGAGAGGAACTTTCAATTCATTTTATAATTTAACACTATTTGAACTCACTTACTTGAACCCCAAAATGGTGTGTGTATCAATAGACACCACGCGGTGTCAATGGTGTCACCCATGGTATCATCCATGCTATCTCCGAGGGTACCTCTATTTGAAGTGAAGAGTTTCAATCTGTAAAAATAAAAAGTCTCCTCAACCTGGAATAATAATAAGGGGGAAAATTTCTCGGTTCTAATAAGTGTCCATCAACAGGGAATTGGCTCAGGACCCTAATTCAAACAACCAGTTTATCAATATTGTCTGTCAATCAAGGTAGGTGGCTTATTCATTTGTAATTTTTTTTTGTATTTTCTTTCCCAGTCTCCATAAATGGAACTATTAGTTCATTCAATTTTCTGTGTTCAAGGTCAAATGCGCCCTTAAATTTGAAAATAAGACAGAAATACATTTCGGGGGGGGGGCATGCCTGATTTTAAGTGATTTATAAGGAAAAATAAAAAAATCAATGAATGAGCAAATCTATATGTATGAAAAATATTTTTGGCCATCCATAACGAAGATACAGATTACCTATGTGAAATTGCCATACTTGTTTTTGTCTCTTGAAGCGCACGAAAGGAAATTACTATAATGTTCGTGGAACATTGTGCGTACCAAAGGAGGATATAGGGACAGGAGGTATGTGTTAGATTTTTTCAAACCTTTGGCAAAGAATGATTCATCGTAATTTGTTGAAATTTGGCAACGACGTTTCTCTATTGTCAAGATAGCATATTACGAGAAGAAATCCACATCCAGACTTGGAAAAAATCATGTTTAATTGTTATCTCGAAAAAGTTCACTTTGTAGTTTGTGATCACTTTTCCAGGAAAACTTCATCAGAGTCAGTAAGATCAGACAAAATGCCATGGGAACTGCCCTTCAATACACAAGGCACACTTTGACCTTCGCTTTGACCGGTTGAATGAAAACATATTAAACAAAAACGTTCGAACGAATTTTCAATTTCGACTGATCACTCCTAACTTTCAACTGGATTCACGTGAATTGATTTTCTTAACAATTTTGTTGTATTGCTTATCAGAAAAAGTTACAGGGAGATATGAAGTTGTGTCTCACATCTCATGGAAGAGCCCCTGTATCTTCCGTGATTATTGGGGTAGTATTCTGAAAATTGATAGTGATCAATGATAATGATATTTTAGGAAAATGACATTGAAATGCTGGATAATTTGAATATCTCTTCGAATTCCTGGAATCGGGACATTGAATTCACCATCGAAAAATGTTTTTCCTGAAAAATGATCAATTTTGAATAATCAAGCACACTGTATTTCCAGTGATGAGCCGCCTCCCCCCATTTCGGCGCCTATGATAATTAGTCATTACATAACATTTAATAAATAGGTAACTTCTACTCAACCAGGCCAAATTTAATCACAGTGTCAAAGTTGAGAAAGATAATATCGTCTCTCGATTGAACATAAGAATCCAAATCCAATAATAGTTAGATTTGTCCGAGATTTTCCTGGATATTCTGTTGAAGCCTCAGTTGAAGCTATATACATGGTGGAGCATGCGTCGGAGCTCGATTGCTCGAGTTCTATAATAGCTAGAAACTTGATTCAAAAACGAATGTGAAAGAAAGAATAAGTTCCATAACTAGAAATTATTGCCGCATATACAGGGGGCACCGGAAAGAATCTAGAGGGTCAGGATCACTTTTTTTAAATGGAATGCCCTGTATATTAGCACATTTTTTAAAGCATCTCTGTGACCTCCAACAACTCCTATAATATTGTTGACTATATCTCGATCATTTCGAAGTTATTAATTTTCTTGTCGAAATAATGTCATCTGCAGATGCGTACCGAAAAGATCACTGTAGTCAAAATAACTATGAAATGCAAGAGAATATTCATAATATCATTTGATGCTTGGAATTTTCATGCCCTCAAATTAAACAGGGTGGCTAAAGAAGAATTTATGGGATATTTTAAAATTGCAGAAAACTGAGGGGGCTAGGTGGGCTGAATTTTTGAGTTTCAGAATTTGAACCTAAAATAAGCAGTTTCTTACTCTCGAATATTCGGAATTTCGTGTAAGAGTTTGTAATCTATAGGTACCGTCAAATTTCCATCTATTTTCAACTTCAAATTCAAAAATAAAATTTCTTTTTGCTAACAATGCATCTGGTCCAAATACCTTGTAGGTACGTACTTATTTCGATATCACCTTGAATTTGTACAATTTTTCAGAACCAACCTGCCCAAAGAAGTCATGGGGTTCCCAGATTTCCCGATTCCAGAACAGAACAAATCATATCTGACACAGGCTGAAATTCTCGACTTCCTGAATCTATATGCCGATAGATACAATCTGAGAAATTTCATCAAGGTACAGAAAAACCATTATTACATTATGTCTGCAATCTACAATAAGGATTAAACACTCCTGTAGAATCGTTATTTTCTGATCGGTTTCGAAAAGCTTTTTTGTTGGATAGGTATTCGAAATGTCCATCGTTCATCCCAACAATACTGATTTTATTGACAAATTTCATAGACCCATATTCCCAGAGTCTCTGTTTATGTTCGGTGCTATTAGGGATTTGTTCACAAAAAATAATGATGGGTTCTGAATCAGGATCACTTGAAACATAATTATGCCCATCTTCTTTCCTAAAAAACGGTCTCCAAAAAGAATAAATATTATTTTGAAATCTTTTACAGTTGGTCAGGTCGTTGACTTCTTGACGGCTAGTGATCACGAGAGTTAGGGAATGCGAATTTTGAGGAAAGAATCATAATCTCCGACCCCAAAACTCAAGTTTGACCTTGATCGAAGATAGATGGAAGATATTATATCCATTCACTTTAACGAGGGCAATTAAGCATATAGAATAGATAAGAAGTATAAAACTATGGAAAAATCATAAACTTTGATTTAATAATTTATTTTTGTTATTTCATCACAGATAATGGCACCAAAATCAGGTGACAGCGACCATGGATTCAATCAATGATATGCCTCATGTATTTTTGACAAAAAACCCATAGTAAGATATTTTTTTTCCATGAAACTGAGAGATTTCCAATTACTATTCGATTTTTGGGGTGAAAATGGGGTAAAAATGAAGCGACGAAATCAGGGGACAGCATGATTTCTATCTATGATATGCCTTGAGAAAGAAATGCATAGAAAGATATTTTTTCCCAATGAAAATGAAAGATTTCCGATTTGCTCTTCCAATTATGCGGTGAAGATTGGGTCAAGAATGAACAGGTGATATAAGATATAATAACTTTTTTTCTGTGACGGGAAAAAAGTTTGGCGTTTTATCTCTGTAGGCAGGTTATAAAATGTCACTTTCCAGAAATTACTTTTTTCCCGGATATATATCACATATATATACACTGTTGATGGCTTTTGTTGTGCTATAGTTCCGAAAAGTGAGTCGATAATACCGTCTCCGAGAAAGAACTGCAAGTCCTTTTATCTTCCATTCGACTTCCCGGTTACATATAATCATATATTACTAAACAACCACTAAATTCGCAATTTTTTGAAATCAAATCACAGAATTAGACTGACAGAAGTGACATCAGATATTTGATTACTACAAAAGAATGATAAAGATGCCTACAACGCAGGTGTCCCTACTGTTAAAAACTTAAAATTTTACGTCGATAATTTTCAGATTTCAAAATAATGTAATATCTTCTCAATATTGAATCGTCCTTTCTTCTGTCACAGAAAAAAAAATAGTGCATTATACACGGGAAAAATATTAGATTTTAGCTCACAACCTGGAGCTAAAATCTACAACTTTTTTTCCTTGTATAAATAACTATTATTTTCATTCTACTACTGCTATTAGGCGTCCTTATTGATGAAAACATATATATAATATAATATCTTAAATATTTTTCAATGCCAATTAATTATTTTTTCTACATTCATGCAAAAAGCAGAACTTTATTGAACTATATTTAGTGGAAAAATATGGTCTTTATTGCACTTAGTGCAATAAAGTTTTTATTGCACTCATCTGTCATTCTACTTCAACGTGCTGTCATCATGACAAACATTTTTTATATTGCAACTGTGGTTATAGAAACGTCATATATTCATATTGAAAATTGCACCAATTGTTCATTCACTTTCAACATTGAGGGTCAAAATAAAGTTTGAGTTAAATTGTTCGTAACGTATTTAGTTCCTGTTTCAATGCAAATCGATATTAATAATAAAGTATTCAAGTTGCGTTTTTCATTTTCCTACACCTAGTGCCGCACCTCAACAAATCATTTTTTGCTTTTTGCATGAACGTAAAAAAAATTTTGTATGCAACGAGTGCAATAAACATTCACTTTTTGCACTTGTTGCATAAATAACTATTGAGTACTCTCAAATAGCTTTCAAATACCTCCATTATTCACGAATACAAAATATTTTAAATATGGTGTACATTTTCATGGGAGTTGTTTGCCTCTCAATGTACTTATAGAGATCAAAATAATTTCGATTTGTAGACCTCACGACCGGTATACAACAATAAACTCCTTTCAGTTCAACTCGATCGTCTCGGAAATCCGGCCGCTCAGCACCAACTCCTGGCAACTCACCTACATTCAAAAACCCACCCACGAGAAAACCACCGCCACCTACGATGCCGTCATGGTCTGCAACGGCCACTACAACGATCCGGTCGTGCCGGAGATACCCGGAGAAGAGATCTTCCGGGGCGAGATACAACACAGTCACACTTTCCGGTCGCCGGAGCCCTACGAGGGAAAGAGGGTGTTGGTGGTGGGGGCGGGACCTTCCGGGTTGGACATCACGCTGCAACTTTCCAAAGTCGCGTCAGAGGTAGGATTCACTCACAAATTTCTTTATAATTTAATTTACCTACGCCACTGCCAGTTATAGACCAACCCGTTAAGAAAAACATTGTCCCTTCACTTCATGTTGGTAACACTGACAATGAGAAAAAATAGAGAAGAAGACCATTCCAACCTTTTTATATTGAGGTTAAAACGGTCTTCTTCTCTTCTTCTGCATTGCTCAATAATTTCGCATATTGTTTCGCATTGGAACCCTGCCTTTAGACAAGAAGTTTTCTGCTCCAAAACTCAAAGCTAGCTTCTTCAACTTTTCTATTGCATGAACTAAAGCTGGAAACAGTGGAAACAGAAACAAGCACATGATGAAATCTCAAACAGAGCTCATCTTTTTATGCACCATTGGTAAAATTCTGAATTTTCATTATAAATGTATATTTATATACATCTACTCTACCCTGATTTTTAGTTTCAAGGTAGGTTGCATTGGGTTGTTTGTATGGTTTCAGCAGTAAAAAAATATACCTATGAAGGATATGTAGGTATACCTACAAATACCCAATAAACTCAATGTAAACTTACATTGAAAAAAGAAGGGCAAATTGTTCTAAATGCGATCCAAAAAACAGGCGGACAAGAAGGTGAAATTTGTAACTTTATAGTGAAATATAATGGTTCGCTCACATTTTCATTATCAAATTCGTGTTTTTCAGACAAAAATGCGTACAAAAAAAAAATTTTCGAACAAAAAAACTCATCACACATGATAATTAAGTGCAGTTTTACCGAACTTGCTTATCTTATTCCTTATTTCATCTTATTCTCTGTATAAACCCACAATAGTCATCAATTGAATCACTTACCCTAAAATATCATCAGAACTTTGGCATCTTTGATAACTAATTGAACATTTCAGTTGAACATTTCCACATAATTCGAAAAGAATTTAAAAAGAATGAAAATCTCAACGGTGAACAATTGCTGACAGCTGACAGTTGACAAAATGAAATGTTCAGAGAGTGGCCGTGGCGAGTAACACGATAGTACGGTCACAGAATATAAGGCGTACTAGTGAAAATTAATGAAAAAATCATTTCAAAAAAAGATAGCGAATACAACGAGCGCAAGAAAAACTATCCGTACCTATACTTTCATGATTCATCTTCCATGTCCGAAATTTCATCTTTTATTTCCAGGTCGTATTCAGTCACCATTCCCCGGAAGCAAGAAACACTTGTTTCCCATCCAACGTTCAACAGAGGCCGGACATCAAACAGGTCGTCAGTGAAAATTCCATAGAATTTGTTGACGGTACTTGTTGTTGTTTCGACGCCATAATTCTTTGTACGGGTTACAAGTACAGCTTCCCGTTTCTCCATCAGTCCTGCGGAGTCACAGTCGACAACAATTTCATCCAGCCACTGTACAAGCACATGGTCCATCTCGAGAAGCCGACGATGTGTTTCATCGGCATACCTTTCAATGTTTGTACGTTCCATATGTTCGATTTACAGGTGAGAAATGAGGTGTAAATTTGTCAGAAGCAGGGCAATGCAAATATGAGTATAGTTTTCCCCCGCGGACCGAATTAAGTTAATCAATTTATTGTTTGAACACACTGATGGTCCGAATTAGTTTGCAGGATTTGACGACTATATTGATTTGGACCGAATTTTGAGTGCGCTTATGAAATCCGTTATTTCTCTCATTATTGATACAGGGATGACGATACCGTTATCGAAATAATATTTCTTCGTCAAGTACTGATGATCGATGAGGATGAAGGATGAGTCAGTAGTATAATATAACGCCTTCGTTCAATTTCACACATATAGAGATTATTTGATTTTAATACCTCGTAGTTGTCTCTGTAGCCTGTAAAACAGTACTCATATCAGTCATCAGGACTGTTTTCCCCATGTTTACTTTTTCAAGTTTCAAGTGACAGTAGTGACAGTATTGACAGCAGCGCTTAGACCGCTCCACTATTAGGAGTGACGTAATCCATGACGTCAGAGTAATTCACGGTGAATATTTACAACCAATCATACCGCGCTCAAAGCGAGTTGAGTGCGATTCGGACAGCGGTGTAGCCGGTGTATGTCTATTTCTTTATTTGTTGTCAGTTGACACGCTCAGCCAATGCGATGAAGAAAAAGGAATGATGGTTTCGTCTCTCATTCCTCTTGGCCTATTCAACATTGACTTTGGCTGCAATCAATCCAGTGTAAACTGCATATACAACTAATCACTGAATGCTGTTGCATTACACATAACGAAGGTCTTGAAGATTTGTTTTGATATTCATATTATTATTTTTAGGCTCGTTATTTCTGTCAACACCTCAACGGGACGATGGTGCTGCCTTCTACTGAGGAAATGCGAATGCATACTGACCGGGAAATGCAGTATCGATGGGCTAAGGGGTGCTCCAAGAGGCAAGCGCATATGATGGGACAGTATCAAGAAGATTACTACAATGATTTGGCTGGAGATGCAAAAACTGCGCCGATTGCACCAGTTTACGTAAAACTGAGAGACACGAGCGTTAGACAGCTCTATAATGATTTGCTCAATTTCAGGGAAGATAGGTATAAGCTCTTGGATAGCGAAAACTTCGTCAAAGTTAACTAAAAAAGTTGTGATAAGTCTATTTATTTCCTTGTTTGTTTCTGTACATTTAATAGTTGGTTATGAAGGTTACTTGACAAACCAAATAGCATTATTTTTGTACCACACTCTTCACCAATAAAAAGATCGATAAATAATCAGATTATATTATTCATTTCCTACTGACCAATTTGATATCAGAGTCCGAATATGCTATGAATAGGCTTGAAAATATGATGTAGGTATATCTCAGAAACCAATGGGTCAGAATTACCTAGTTATAACTCTCAGATTCGTAGAATCGAAGTTTTTTCTCCTCGATTATCAGACGATAACCAAGAAAGAAATCTTTCCGCGTTCTCGGTGAATGAAAACTATGAAAAGACCGTTAGGGAGTTAGGGAGGGAAGAGAATCTTTAAACTTTCAACATAGCTATGCTGCTTAGGCTTGTTTAGACAGAGGCACATTGTCGCAAACTGCTGAAATTAACAGAAGTTTTGACAGTTCACAGCAAACCAAGAAAACTAAAAGAAGAAGAAGAAGTCATTAATAAGGTTATGTGATGTTTTGTTTACTTGGTATGGAAAGCAACACGTGAATGACAAAATAGAAACCGAGTAAATAATATAAAAGTATCCGCTTACCCTACATCGTACCCTCATCAATATGGACTATACTGTTGGGAGCTTAGCAGATTTGATATCCGGTTCCAATACCCCGAATAAGCCCCAAGTTATCAAGAAAAAAATCAAACGAAAATCAGTACCTCTTGATCAAACCCCACAAGATGCAGGTCCAACCATCAGCAAAAAGAAGAGTAAAACTGTGAAGTCTGAAGATGTATTAGTATCTGAATCTCCCAATGCGAGCTTGAAATCAGAAAAAAAGAAAAAGAAAAGGAAGTTGGATGATACTGACATGGACCTAGTGGACAGTGGAGCAGAGGAAGATGTAGGCATCCCTGAAAAGAAGCCAAAACTAACTCAGAATGACCAGAATGCCGAAAGACGCGTCAAAAAGAAATTGAAAGAGGAAAAGAAGGTTGAAAACCCTGAAGAACTTGCTAGGACAATATTTGTAGGCAATGTTCCTATCAAGACAAATAAAAAGAAAGTGAGGAGACATTTCAAGAAGTATGGACCAATTGAATCTTTGAGATTTAGAGGAATACCAGTGGCAGATCCCAAAACATCAAAAAAAGTTGCAGCTATCAAAAAGGAATTCCATCCTGATAGAAGCAATGTATACTGCTACATAAGGTATGAAAATTGTATATTTCCAGGTATGTTTCCATCCAGGTTTCAATATATTTCAATGAGCCAAAGCTCATTCTCATTTCTGTACATTTTTTGTTTCTTTGTAACAATACTCTTATTTCTTTCAATATATAAAAATCAGGATAGATTCAACCTACATACATTAATTATTATTATTCTTGTCATCAGATTCATAAATAAAGAAGATGCTTTGAAAGCTGAAGAAGCAAATGGTTCACTGTATGAAGATCATCATATCAGGGTACACTGTTGTGGCAATAAAGAGAAACCAGATGAATCAAAAGCTATTTTTGTTGGTAACCTGAGTTTTGGTAAGTATCTATACAGGTTGTTATCATATATCAACAGTAGATTGGGGTCAATCTGAAAATATCAAAAATTCCACTATTACAGTCTTCAAATTTATTGACCTTAACAGAAAATTATAAGTGTATGTTTATGATTTTTCAGTTATATTTTAAAAGTCCTCTCAATCCACTTATCAATTGAACTGTGTCACATCATTGAAACCTGTCAGTATCTGAGATATTTCTTGTGTAGATGCTGAAGAAGATGAATTATGGAAAGTCTTTGAGTCCTGTGGTCCAATAGCTCATGTCAGGATCATAAGAGACTCCTATACTGGAATGGGAAAGGGTTTTGGCTATGTGAATTTCAGAAACTCAGATGCTGTTCAGATGGCTCTAGAAATGGAGAATGTGAAATTGAAAGATAGGGAATTGAGGATTTCACTTTCAAATCTGAGTACTGCTAAGAAGAATAAGAACAAGAATAAAAATAAAGTTGTAAGTACAGTAATCAATTTTATCTGATCTGCACTATTTTTGATAGGTTAGCTCTCTCTACCATATTTACATTAGGTATATCAAAAATTCCACTGTCATCTACATTTGGAATAAAATCCACATGTGTTCATCTGTTTTTTCCCAGATTACAAAGGCTGGGAAGCCGAAACCAAGGAAACCTTTTGGTAGAAAAAGAGATAGTAATCCAGGAGATTCAGCAGATGGGGACCATAGGCCTGAGAGACCAAACTGGGGGAATCATAACAAGGGATTCCAAGGTGCAAAATTCACAGACAACAAAAAGGTAACTTTTTGAACAGTTTTGTTTTGAATCATACTCATGATTGTTTTTCCTAGAAATTCAAGATGAACAAAGGGGTTTTAGAGAAAAACAGGAAAATCAAGAAAATTGCTCCCCTTGCAAAATGAGGACCTGGAATTTTGTTCATATTTTGTGACTTGATTCCTTTCTGATGAGAATAGGTTTCAAAAATATCTAAAATGAATATATGGCTAGAATATTCTTTATTGTTTTATTAATAAAATTAACATCTTGAAAGAGGCAGAGATTATGAGTAAAATTTTTCTCATATCTACAATATGTTCCTATATCATATAGGTGAATCAGAATTTGTGTAAGTAGGTAGGTAATATGATTTTGTATTGAATTAAAATAAAATCAGCTGAAATACAAATGATGAAATAGCCAGGCTAATCTTCAGGGATTCACTGCAGATTATGCAGGTTTGAAAAATTCAATCATTTTAGTGTGAATTTATGTGTTATTTTTGTCTCAGACTAAATCTCTGATACGTGCTGATACTATGGTTATATCGATACCTTGTAAGAAAGGAATTAGCTAAAGTTCTTCTCAGAAACAGGCACAATTTTTTCAAAGGTAAGTTCCAAAAGTTCTGTTTCAAAAATTTCTATGAGTTCTGTGATACTGATATGCTTGCACTTAGGTAGTAGGTTTCCATTTGAATCAACAGGTGACTACTTACATACCATCCTACCTAGATTCCTACACTTTCTTCCAACCAGAATTTGTCACCTATTCTACTAAGACATTGAACATTTCTATCTATATCACCAAGATCCACAAAGCATTATATTTGTCTGTTTTGTATTCATAGCAGAACAATATTGTAGGTATCATTAGGATAGGTAGATAAAACAATTTTTTAGAATAGAGCTCTTTTCTATCTTGAACGAGAGCGCTGATTGATTAAGCGTAATATATAATATATCAATCAACGACGAGAGAGAGGAAAGTACTCATCTCCTCTTCCATCTCTCTCTGCAATGCTACCAACGTGGCCGCATTGAAATATAGAGAGGTCCGATAAATCTTTCCTTGTCTAACCTCTAGTCTGTGCCACTGCACTAATGACGTGATATGTCTATGTCATGAATGTCATTGATTGATTACATTTCGAAAATCGAAATGGAATTTTGATTTTCGTACTTATTTTGACATAATTTGTTAATATCAATCAACGGTTTGACACTCTGCTGAATTGAAAAATAGTTCAGTGGCACAAAGTGGATGTTAGACAAGAAAAGATTTATCGGACCTCCCTATATTTCAATGCGGCGACGTTGGTAGCATTGCAAAGAGAGATGGAAGAGGAGAGAACTTTTCTCTCTCTCTCGTTCACGATACAAAGAGTGTACAGTACTATACTATAGGCGTTGATTGATAATATATTACTCTATAGGTAAAGAAAAAGAAGGATCATAAATCTGCATACTCCTTCATCTACCTACCTTTTCTGAGATAAAAATAATAATTATCAGAGCAATGCAACACATTTTTCAACATTTATTTTATTAATGACATTAATTATGTACAAACAATCCTATTCAATTTATCTTGCACAGCCTGTGGAAAACTTCTCAGTCTACTTTTAGCACATGGTATACAAAAGCTACCATCAAAGTAAAAACTACAATTTGTGTCTTTACACACACTTTTCCTGCAAACTATACAATGGGACCCTAAAATGATGATTTTCCCCTGTTTTGGCTGTTGAAAAGGATCCTCAATCACATATGCATCTTCCATCATAATGTAGTTTTTCAGGTAGGTGGGATTACTGCCAAAATACTCATACTTTTCTCTAAGAGAACAAGTTGAACATTCAAAGTATTTGGGTTCTTCCTTTTCTGTGGGTGTTTTAGATGTAGAAACTGAGGATCCTGGCTTAGTGTCTTGGCAAGAAAAGTCATCTTTGGTCTCAATAGCTTCTGGTTTGATATTGTTGAGTTTATTATAATTTCATGTTTAATCATGTACTCTGTATATTATCATTACCTTTATGTCATGTATCTAGAGTGCAAATATTCTGGTTGTTATTGGAAAAACAATTATTATTGATTAAAATAATTTGTCAACGATAAGTCACATCTTGATCATTCTCTGAACTTCATTCTTCAAGTAGAAGAATAATAGATCCACCGCAGTGCCTCTCAACAGGTTATGGGCCCAGGCAAGCAGTAAGATCATAAGGAATTAGTTTCTGATTGAACCAGTTCAGGAAAATGTCAGATAAGATTGACCTGGGAAGTATTTCCAAGTTTGATGGTAAGAATTACCAGCAATGGAAATTCCAAGTCAAATGCGCTCTGAGAGCGAAAGCAATATTTGGTGTCGTTGATGGATCAGTTCCAAAGCCAGCAGCCATTCATCCAGAGGAAGTCAACCAGTGGAATAAGAGAGATGCTATTGCAATGTTCACGCTGACTTCTGCAATGGACCTTTCCCAAATCACTCTCGTCGAAAACTGTGAAACTTCCATGGAAATAATCCAGAAACTCGATTCGATATACCAGCTGAAATCAGAAACGAACAAAATGCTTGTTCACGAAAGGTTCCATCAATATAAGATGTCCACTTCTGATTCCATTGCTCAACATATCTCAAAAATCGAAAATTTGGCAAGAGCAGTCAAAGAAACTGGTGACGTATTGAGTGATGCAGCAGTAATGACCAAAATACTGAGTACTTTGCCGATCAAATACAGGAATATACGTCAAGCATGGTTATCTCTCGATGAGAACAAGCAAAACATCCAGAATTTGACAGCACGTCTTTTAGATGAAGAGGCAAATCTAACTATCACTGAAGAATCTGAGATTGCCTTAGCTGCTTCATCAAACAGTGATCAGAAGTTCCGGAAGAAAACCAAACCGTTTTGTTATAATTGCCGCAAAAAGGGACACCTGGGTAAAGACTGCAAGTCACCAAAGAAGAAACCCATTTTAGAAAGAAGAAGTGATACACAAACTAATCCAAGGGAAACAGCTTTCAATGTAGAAAGTGTTGAAAGTCTTAATATTTCTGAAGATTATTGGATTCTAGATAGTGGAGCTTCAGCACATATGACTTTCCACAAAGAATATTTCATTGATCTCGAAGAAACTCAAGATGGCAATTCAGTCTCCCTTGGGAATAATCACAATCTTATTGTCAGAGGAAAAGGAACAGTAAAAATCCAAAAATTGATCAATGGAAAATGGTTCAATGCTTCTATCAATAACGTATTATATATTCCCGAACTCAGAAAGAATCTGTTTTCTGAAGGAGTTCTTACCAGCAGAGGAATGAAAATAGTCAAAGAAAATGAAGAAGCACGAATATATGACAATAACGGAATATTGCTTGCTTGTGCTATCAAGCAAACAAATAACATTTACCGTATGTTTTTTCGGACCATCACAATTCAAGCGAATGCTGTAGAAGAAAATAATCTTCAACTATGGCATCAACGTTTAGGACACTTGAATAAGAGATACCTTCAAGATATCACTTCAAAAGGACTAGTGAGTGGTGTTGAAATAACAAACTCTGAAGATTTCTTTTGTGCTGACTGTAATTACGGCAAACAAAGTAAAATATCATTCAAGAAAAGTAATTCCAACAATCGTAATATATCACCTGGTGAACTGATCTTCAGTGATGTATGTGGTCCAATGGCGGTACCGTCTGTCCAAGGTGCAAGATACTTCATACTTTTCAAAGACAGCTCCTCAGGATATCGTATTGTATACTTTATCAAGCACAAGTCTGATGCTTTAGAATGTTTCAAGAAATATTGCAATCTCACGAGAAATAAATTCGAACATCCTGTAAAATCTCTTCATGTGGATAATGGAAGTGAATATTGCAATATGGATTTCCAAGAGTATCTTCACAAACAAGGAATCAGCATAGAAAGAACGGCACCATACACTCCTGAACAAAATGGGAGAATCGAACGGGACAATAGAACAATCATCGAAAGTGCACGTTCAATGCTATGTGGAGGAAAAGTTCCGAAATATCTTTGGGCAGAAGCAGTAAATACGGCTGTATACATCCTCAACAGAACACCGACATCTCAAACTCCAAATTCCACACCATTTGAAGAGTGGATAGGAAAGAAACCAATACTGGATCATGCTAGAATTTTTGGCAGTGAAGCTTATGTTCATATTCCTAGAGAAAAGAGAACAAAGTTAGAAGCCAAAAGTATGAAATTAATAATGGTTGGTTATGATGGAGACTCATGTAATTATAGACTATTCGATCCTGTAACGAAGAAGATAACGATCTCCAGAAACGTTATTTTCAATGAAAATATCAAAGGATATGTGGAGAACAGAGAAAATTCAGCCCCTGTATATTTCGAGACTGATGATATTACAGAAACCCCGAACGAGGTGATAGAACCAGAAAGAAATTTTGAAGGATGTCATAACGAAATGCCAGCTGAACGTCAGAGACGAAATGTTCAAAAACCAGTGAGATTTGAAGATTATGAGCTCAATATGTCAGAACTATGTACTCCACAAACTTTCGAAGAAGCCATGAATAGCGAAGAATCTCATCATTGGCAAGAAGCAGTAAACGACGAACTTGATGCCCTGGCGAGAAATAATACCTGGGAATTAACAACTCTTCCACCTGGAAGAAAAACGATCGGTTCAAAATGGGTATTCAAGATCAAATTGAAAAACGATGGTAGCATAAATCGTTATAAAGCGAGACTATGTGCGAAAGGATTTGCGCAGAGAGAAGGTGTAGACTACAATGAAATCTTCTCCCCAACAACCAGGTACGATTCGATTCGTGTTCTATTAGCCACTTCAGTATTGAATGGTTACAAGATGAAGCAATTCGACGTAAAAACTGCATTTTTACATGGGGACCTGGAGGAAGAAATCTATATGCAAGTACCAGAGGGCGTCAACAATCCAGAAAATCGAGTTTGCAGATTGATAAAATCACTGTATGGTCTCAAGCAGGCTCCTCGATGTTGGAATAATAAATTCAATAGATTTCTGAAAAATTTCGGTTTTCAACAAAGTCAAGCTGACAATTGTGTCTACAGGGGCAAAGTTGAAAATTCGAAAATATTGTTGGTGATTTTTGTAGATGATGGACTAATTTTTTCAAAAAGTGAATCTGCAATAGCCATTGTTCTGAACTATTTGACTGAATGTTTTGAAATTACATTTGGCGAAGTTGATGTTTATGTGGGTATGCAAATTGTTCATGATCAGGAAGATGGATCAATATTTATTCACCAGACCACATACATCAAGAAAATATTGAACAAATTCAAGATGGACTCAAGTAATCCTGTCAAAATACCCGCTGATTGTCATACAGTATTCACAGCAGAATCGATCTCGAATATTTCTGGAGACATACCGTACAGACAAGCAGTTGGTTCCTTGATCTTCGCTGCTATTGTATGTAGACCCGACATATCATATTCAGTGGGAGTTGTGAGCAGGTACTTAGCAAATCCTACAAATGCTCATTGGAATGGTGTGAAGAGAATTTTCAAGTATCTGTTGAATACAGTAGACTATGGAATCAAATACTACAAAGATGGAAACAATTCATATTTGACTGGATATTCTGATTCTGATTTTGCCGGTGACGTATCTACTAGATGTTCGACAACTGGATATATTTTCAAGATTTGTGGAGGACCAGTAACCTGGGCTAGTCAAAAACAGCATAGTGTATGTTTATCGACTACGGAAGCTGAATATGTCGCAGCTTCCAATGCATCTAAAGAAGCTATTTGGTTGCGGCGATTATTGGAAGATATTGGAGAAAATATGAACAGGCCCACAGTATTGTACATCGATAATCAAAGTGCTATACGTCTCATCAACAATCCTGAATTTCACAAACGTACCAAACACATAGACATACGTTTTCATTTCATTAGAGAAAGAGTGAGGAATTGTGAAATTCTACCGATGTACGTACCAAGTAGAGAACAGGAAGCAGATATATTAACGAAGCCGTTACCTGCAAGTATTTTTGAAGAACAAAGAAAACTGATTGGTATATGTTCCAGGAAATGAAAGGAATATATTCATATCATTTTTCAATTATTGTAAACACTCAATTAGTGGGAGTGTTGAGTTTATTATAATTTCATGTTTAATCATGTACTCTGTATATTATCATTACCTTTATGTCATGTATCTAGAGTGCAAATATTCTGGTTGTTATTGGAAAAACAATTATTATTGATTAAAATAATTTGTCAACGATAAGTCACATCTTGATCATTCTCTGAACTTCATTCTTCAAGTAGAAGAATAATAGATCCACCGCAGTGCCTCTCAACAGATATCAGAATCTGGCTCCATTCCAAAAAAACCTGAAATGAAGGAAAACAATAGTCAATAACCCTGTTAATCTGTGCCTAGAGGATATCAAATTGAATTGAAGGTACTGAGTTTTTCATGACAGGCAAATCAAATTTTCACTTATCAAAAGATTAATAATCCTCATTTCCATATTTTTAGGTGATTCATTAAAATGTCAAAAGTTGGGAAACAGTTATAACTAATCTCTGCAGTATCAGAATTTACCTTAATCCAATTTTCTCCCTGCATTTTACCAATAATAAATAATTTAATTAAGCTAGCTCTGAGATTTTTGTCAGCTCTTCTGCACATTCAATTTTTCTTTAGGGGCTTCCAAAGGCCACCAATGGGGCTTGTATACCTTAGCAACACCATCTCCTACAGAAAATTCACCAATTTCCAATGCACTACTAATTCTAAGTAATGCAAGTCCCAAATCATCTTCTGTTCCCCTCAACTTTCCTAATTTTGTACTTTCCTGCAGTATATTATTATCTTTTGGCAAAATACTAGGTATTTTACTGAAAAACAGTGGCATTAAACGTTTTCTAATGATTCCTGTGTGATGTGTTCTTGCTGTCAGTTCTTGGCCAATATAGCAGCCCTTATGGAAACTAACCCCATGAAGATAGTCACAGTTGCATTCCAGAGGAAAGCAGTTGTCTGGTGGTAAATCATAGGGGCCTTCACCTACTCCTAGAGAATATCTCAAAGCTTTATAGCTATCATGAGGTTCTGGACAATCAGTCACTTCTAAAAAGCCACTTAGTTCTTGTTTTACATCAGTACCAACTTTGGATATTATACGAGAACCAAGTTCCATTACTCTGGGGTCTCTGAATATTAGTAATTTGTTGTATATGGTTGTACTAGTTGAAGTTTCTGGTTGTGTGTTTCTCAGTTGATCACAAGGCACTACAATACCCTCTAACTCACCATTACTAGCCCTTGTATTCACCTGGGTTTTAATATTTTTAGTATTATACACAGTGTGAATCATGTACTCATCTTGCAAACTGGAAATATCAATCTTCTTCCTAACCCTAAACATTTTCAAATGCTTCTCCAGTGATTTTATCACATCATTATCACATTCAACAAAGTAGGTGTTTTTCTCTCCAGGTTTATAGATAATGGTATCATACATTACTCTTCCTTTGGCATTCAAGAACATTGCATAAATTGAACCCCCAGAGGTTTTTCCAAGATGGTACATGTCATTGGTTATGAGGCCTTGCAGGAAATCTTTCACTTCACTTCCTGATACACGTAGAAGGGATCTATTATTCAAGGGAGCTAGAATATTTCTGACTGGCAAATTAGTAGAGTACAAACGTACATTCAAGATTTTTGAGATGCTGTACATTGTCGAAATCTGTTTAGGATTTTTGTATAATTGAGATGTTGTTCAAGTTTACTCACATTTGTGAAGTTCTAAGATGTATTTATCTGTGGCTGCAGGAGTGCAGGCAGCACTTTTTAAGGGAAAAACTGAATTTCAAAATATTGAGGTTGTGTTCATGTTGATAATTTATCTGTCACTGTCAAGACTCTTCTTCTTCCGATTTTATTGGCCTTTGCTTCCTTGATGGCGCATTTGGCCTAGACTCAAGATTCGTCAAGACACAGTAGAGAAGCTCTCTACTGTGGTCAAGATTGTGAAGTAAAACCGTAAAACAGTGTTGCCACCTGACCTGAGTAGTGAGCTCAACCATAGATCTAAGCATTTATGTGTATTTAGATCTATGGCTCAACAAATAGTTCCGCGAACAGGCAAGAAATGTCCCATATATCCATACCACAGTATATTGTCCTCGTGAAAGGATAATAATATACTGTGCCCATAGTGAGATCCATACAGAACTCTTTCAAGGCAACTATCCTCTACAAAATAATCATCAGTTCTACCAACCTTGGACAAGGTGATTAAGTGGTGACATCTGTACACGGATAGATGAAACATTAAAAGAATTTAGAACTCTATCTTACAGGATACGTATTCGACAACTTTTTCTCTACCCAATAAAACTTGTGTATAGATGTCAGGAGTATCGACAAATCGTAATAATATATTTGAACAGTGGCGTACGCTTCGTACACCTGTTTTGTTGTCAATTAGTCGTGTGATGTCTTGATAACAATTATTATTATTTATAATGACCCTGTATATATTGCCCCTGTGTATATATTGAAACAAAAAAGATTGTTAGTTAGTTACATAAGTGTCAGAGATAAACATGAAAGGGTTTGTCAGAGTCTTTGAATAAAAGCTGATATTTTTGAAAACGAGATTAATTGACGAAATGAATACACGAAACTTCTCCTTCAGCACTATCACGTGAAATTTCGACACCAGGGAGTAGAAACAATTCTCAACGAGATACGACAGAAATTTTGGGTGATTGATGGAAGAGTCGCCGTCAAGTCGACGTTCACTTGCTGCCTGAAATGTAGAAATTCGAAAGTGACCCCGACTGTACCTAGGATGGGGCAACTGCCTGCCGTACGTTTGACCCCAGATATTCGAGCGTTTGTGAACGTAGGACTGGATTATTTCGGTCCATTAAAGGTCACGGTCGGAAGACGGACAGAAAAAAGATGGGGAGTCTTATTCACATGCATGGCAGTGAGAGCAATCCACCTAGAAGTTGCTCATAATCTAACAACTGATTCTGCCATCATGGCGATAAGACGGATGATGGCGAGAAGAGGAAAACCAGCAACCATATATTGCGACAATGGTACCAACTTCAAAGGTGCTGCTGAGGAACTGAAAAGGGCCCTGTTGGAGTTGGATCGTTCCACCATAACTGATACTATGGTCTCGGAGGGTATCAACTTCAAATTTATACCAGCTGCTTCGCCACATATGGGTGGTGCTTGGGAGAGGCTCATTGGATCGGTAAAAAGAACCATCGGAGTCACCTTGTACAACCAATCTCTGAAGGATGAAACTTTGGAAACCCTATTTGCCGAAGCAGAAAATATCGTTAACTCTCGGCCTTTAACGCATGTTTCTGTAGACCCGCATGATCCAGAAGCATTAACACCAAATCATTTTTTGATTGGATTTGGAAACCAGAATGGACCACCCTGTACTTCAGAAGTAAGTAGATATTCACGCAAAGAATGGCGCAAATCTCAGATGTTAACAGATGCCTTCTGGAAGAGATGGATCCGTGAATATCTACCAAAACTGACCAAGAGATCCAAGTGGATCGATGACAACAAGAGTATAGAAATAGGAGACATCGTATTGATCGTAGATGAGACTGCTCCAAGAAATACCTGGAAAATCGGTAAAGTCGATAAAGTTTTTCCAGGCCCAGATGGCCGAATTCGAGTGGCAGATGTGAAAACAAGAACGTCCACGTATCGTCGTCCTGTTGCTAAACTATGTCGCCTGCTCACTGATGGTGAAGAAAACGGAGTTTCCTCACGGGGGGGAGAAATGTGATGTCTTGATAACAATTATTATTATTTATAATGACCCTGTATATATTGCCCCTGTGTATATATTGAAACAAAAAAGATTGTTAGTTAGTTACATAAGTGTCAGAGATAAACATGAAAGGGTTTGTCAGAGTCTTTGAATAAAAGCTGATATTTTTGAAAACGAGATTAATTGACGAAAAACACGATTTAACAAGTCGTATTTGACCAGCAAACACAACCAAAGATTATTGAAACTTGAAAGTAAGTACATGTAAGAAACTTCAAAAACGATAAGATTCACAGTAATTCTTATCCTGAAGTCTTTCACATTTACTATATGGATTTCCATCAAGTGGAATATAGGTTCTTCACTTACTCTATCCAACAAAATGTGTCTGTTGTCCGTCGAAATCATCAACATGGAAAATCATTTCCTTTTGTTAGAAAACAGGGATTGAAAACTATTCTATCCAGAAACGTCGAAAAGCTAACTCGCAACGTGAAATCTTCAATAATATTTTGTGGAATATTTCAGAATGTGCAAAAGTTACAGACATTTATTTTGTATGATTATGTACCTAACAACTTTGACCTTTGAAACCTGGTATTTTCCGTTATATTCATCTGCCTAATTTTGTCTAGCAGTTCGATGATTTACGTCTCTTGGTGAATATATATAACATTCGTTTAATTCAGAATAATTTCATGATGAGATATATCAGATACAAACAGATTTTTCGATTCACAATCCAAAATTCACCAGACCCATCTATCATCTTTATTCATCGGCCCTTTTTTCGATTTCTTGTGCTCTTGTATCTCCATGCCGGCGCCGGTCAGGGGATTCCTCATCATGCTGGAAGTTGACACCTTTTGACCCTTTCTGTCGTCGATTCTGTGCAGAGTAACGGAACTGGGGCAGCTTTCACTTCCCGGTCGGGCTCCGGCGGGTTCTCTCTCGACTTCTTCCGGATACTGATGCGTCTCGTCCGTCTCTTGGAACTCCTGGAATTTGGCATCGGTAAAATTTGCAGTCATCATGTGATGGTTTTTTTTTTCGAAAACTTAATTGTTACCTACGTATTTTTGTCTGAAAAACACGAATGCATTTTTGGTATATCTCACGCTCCAGCAAATTTCAGGATCCTTACCCAACGATTAGGTACGTAAGATACAGGGGTGAAAAAAATTCGAACATTTTCCAAAGAAATTATTTTACTTGACATCAACAATTATTCAAGATAGCTATGCAAAGTATTGCAAAGATCCAATTTTTGTATCACGGGTTAGCGATCACTAGAGTTCCTAAATATACTTGACACTGCTGATTTTGACGTTTTAATATACAAAAAACGTCAAAACAGCAGTGTCAAGAACATTTAGGAACTCTAGCGATCACCGAATATCTAAGGAAAATATAATATTTATGTCTGTTTTCCAAATTCATATACCTAATGCATTTAAAATGAAAGTTATTCACTATTTTCTGGCCTGGTATCAACTACCACTCTTCAGACATGGAGGATAACACACCCTCTGTCTATGACAGATTAATCGACTGATTTTCTGTGCGTTAACATGGCGTTAACCTAATCTTTTTTAAGAATGTTACTCCTATTATTTTGCCAGACCTACCTACTGGTCGGTTAACCAGTGCATTTACTTATATTCTTGTTGATTCTCCTGTATAAAATGTGCCATTAAAGTACATCATGAATAGGTATAAAAAAAGTGTCCTATGACCAAATAAGAAGAGTAAATGCGTATCGAAGACAGGTGAAAAAAGATGGTGGAATTTAGAACTTGTTCGTGATGGCTTGTTCACATTTTCATTATCAAATTCGTGTTTTTTCAGACAAAAACTCGTATAGGTAGGTGAGGTAACAAAAAAAAATGACGAAAAAAAAACCCATCGCATGATAGGTATGCAAAATTACCTTGGCATCTCCTCTGTCCTGGACGTCTTCCGGTTTTTCCGGGGACCGTGAGCGGCCGTATTCGAAGCACTCGTTTTCCCGCGGTTTGGTTTTTCTCGCGATTTTCAGCGGGCAGCTGCCGTGCACCGAGAACATCTGGTTTCCGTCGGTGTTTTCCTCGTTCAGGCAGAAAATGTCGCTGGCGTTTCGCGACATGGCTGAGCAATTGGAAAAATTTTATACGTCAGTTGAGTCAGCTAATATTTTGACAGGAGCGACCTAGAGTCACTGGATGGTACTAGGGCCCCTTGATGTAAATTGACGTATTTGTCATCTCAACAGGGTACGGACAGATCCTCCTCTCACTCTAAAGTGTTTGTGAAACAGTCATATAGTTCCATCCTTATTCAATTCTGGGGATAAACACTAGATTTTTGACATTCGTTGTTTTTTAGGTTACATTGAGGTCACTGGCGTATCATAAGTAATTTCCATATGGAATTCCTGATTCAACTATACGAAGATATAGATGAACAATCCTCTAGTTTTAGAGTTTACTAATCCAGCATGATCTCTGCGAGGTAGGAAACATATGAATTGTACTGAAAGCTCAATATATTTCAGCAAAAGAGAATGTTCTTAGACTGTATACCAGGGTTGACTGAATTGACTGAATGAATTCTGATTTCAAGCTGAGCAGAAGTTTATCTATGAGCTGAATGAACTGAGCCTTATGATTGAGAAATGGTGGAAACCTTGATGTGGGTATCTTAACTACTGTACTCATGTCATATGTGCTGAATATATTTTCGGAAATCCAATTCGGAGAAGAATTTATGGAGTGACTAATATCACATTATGTATAAAACTTCGTCTGGGACGAAAAGTAGGCTGATGAAAAGTGATACGTAAAATGTGCAGGAAAATAAAGAATACAATATACTGGATCCGTCATCTTAAATTTTTTTATTTTGACGAAACAATCATTATCTCCTACCCCGAAAACCCCCAGATA